TAATAAAAATCTAAATTTCTCTCGTGGTATAATTCATAATGATTTTCAAACTAGATCAATTCAATAAATATTTCTGTGCATGATGATATTGAAGAGCACATATGAAAAAACGTGATAGTTTTTGTTAACTGAATAATGAACAGACGCTCTTTTAACCATCTTATTGTTTTTTCGTTATTCTCAATAGTTTCAACATGAATAGGTAAAAAGTAATTTTTTATCGAGTGATTTGTCAAAAGGTAAATTAATTGAATAGATTGATTTATATTTAGAAAATGAAAATAGATATATCAAATATATATCGATAATTATTTTAAATAAAATGAAATTATTCAATTAGATAAATAATATTATTAAATATAATCATCAATAATCACATTCTCGTTGTTCTTTTTTTTTTTGAATTAAAAAAAATTCTCAAATGATTAGAATTCATATCAAAAATATAGTTAAAGAAATTTTCAATAATCTTTTAGAAAAAGTAAACAGCTATTGAACATATATGATTGATTAATGTACATAATAATTAAATAAATTATTCGAATAAATTATTGATTAAATTAGAATTATTGTTTAGTTTTTTTAATAAGTCAAAACACGATTGAATGAAAGGTTCATTTAAATTGTCAGTATAACGTAAGTCTTCAATAAGACTAATTGTTAATTTAAATTGAACAAATTTATGAAGAGCTTCTTTTTCTTCTGATGGTAATTCAAAAATTTGTTGATATCCTTTTAAAAATATCTTCGCGTTAAATTCTCCATGAATTGGATCAATTAATAAATGAAATAAAGATGTTGCTATATCAGATAAAAATACTGATTGGCAAGCATCAACAAAATCAATAATATATATGTTATCATCATTTGTTAGTATTGAATTATTCATATGAAAATCATTATGAATTATACCACGAGAGAAATTTTGATTTTTATTAGAAAAATATTGTTTACATTCAATTATATTCGATAAAAGATCAGGATGAACATAATCTAGTTTTTGTTTATTCCACCATTGTTCAGTTAATTCTTGATCTTCTTCTTGATTTAAATGAATATTTAATGAATAATTACTGGAAGCTATTCTCATTTGTGCTAATAGACAACCCATTCTATATAAATAATTTGGATTTTTTTCAATTATATCTTTAGTTAATTCGATTCCTTGAATAAATGTTTGAACAAATAAATAACGATTATTATCAATAATAAATAATTTTTTATTTATTGAATAAATTATATTTGGACATGGATATTTATATAAATCATGTAAACTATTTTCAAATAATAATATTGTTTGAAGATGTTCAACACTATGATTATATTCAATATATTTAACAATATATTTCATTTGATCATTAGTTATAAGTAAATATGTTTCATCTGGACAATAACCACCTTCAAGACAATTCAATTGTTCGACATTCAATTGATATTCATCAAATAAAATTTTTTTTATTCGATCTTCCATAATTATATATGATCTAAAAGTAAAAACTTATATTAAAATGATTTTAATTGTTCCTAAGAGAATATATTTACTTAATTAAATCGTTTTTCATCAATAAAAGACTTTATACAAAAAAAGATGTGTCTGAGCAACTTTTTGAGAAAGCGAATATTTTTTTTCCTACAAGATTTTAACTGATTAAAATCGAAATAAATTCCTATTAGAATTTATTGTATGTTGAGTATTATTGTTTACAATTCGAATCGATTCAAGCTGATAAATATCGCTAAAATATTCGACCAGTATTATTTTTATAGATTTATTTTGATTCATGATCAAATTTATTCTCTATATTTATAATCAATGTCGAGTGATTAATGATACTTTATATTCAACTATTGGATTTTCTTATATTCATATTAGTTAGCAACTATAATCATATTCATATATATGAGCTAAATCATTGGTTAGCCATCTGGTAATGGCAAACTTGAAGTATGCATACCTCAAAAATTATCAGCTAGTTTTGGTGCGATTTTCACATGTTGTACAAGTCTCTATTTACTTCGGATGCCATGAAAAAATCAACACTCTAGAGCTTTGTTCAGAGAAGTTATTAACGAAAAATTAGCGTTAGCAACATGACTGAGTACGAGTTCACTACCGATGAAATACTCTGGTAACAAACTAAATAGTTTGAAATCGATTCCAAGAGGTTCATGTTAATGGTAAGAGTC